GAAATATTTAAACACAAACCTTATTAGAGCGCAGAATAATTTATATTAATAATATTATATATATATATATATATATATATATATATATAATTATATATTGACAATATAAATATTTATAATTATTTATTGTTAATATATCATTTTACTATTTAATTATGATATAAATACCTATTAAATTACCTATAAAAGTAAAATATATATTTGTTAGTTCTTAATTGGATTATATTGCATAATACAATCTCTTTTTCTGGATATGATATGTCTACATTTATTTTCACTGAAAAAAAAGAGAAGAGATTTTAATTCGAGTTTTCGAAAAGTTTTGTCGATAATTTCAATATCGAAATACAGTTTATAGATCACTGCGTTTAATTTTTTCGAAAAGAGAGCTTGTAATGTAATTTCCCTCAAAAATAGAAATCGAGGAGCAATTGACAGGACAAAAGGTTAATAAATCTCCAATTTAGAAATGACGCATATACATGTTGCATTCATTCCATTTACGCTCTCAACATAAAAAAATAATTCAATATGGAGAGAGAACAGCGCAGCTCGGAAAAGATTGAAACTTTTCTATGCAACAACACAAAGTTTTATATATGTTATACGTTTTTATTCATCATTTTTTTCTTGTCTAATTTTTTGCTCTTGCGCGTTTTTTTACAACGTCTATTATATTATTTATCGTAATAAATCATACATTATATTATACTTGTTTCGTACAAAAATGTTGATATAAATATAATAATCTGTCGATGATACTATTTTACACGAGAAAATGTAAATAAGATAATTTTGAGTGTGAAGGATTGTAAAAATTTTTGAATGATGCGTGCCACCTAACCGGCAAAACTTTTCACGGAGGAGTGAGTAATGTGGCGGCCATTACCGTAGGGTCGAGAAAAATTCTTGACCCAGTACTTTCGCGAGAGTTAAAGGGCCGCGCGTTCTGAGTGGACTTTGAAATCCACCATCATCAGGCTGAGCGAGTTTTTGAGTGAGCAGCTGCTACTCGTCGTCGTTTAGCATCGCTAATGCTGAAGAAACAGCCATTTTTCCTTCCTTTCTGGCACATTTTTCTTAATTCATTATTTTATATTCAAGTAATTTTGTTAACTCATTGCACATCTAACGATCGAGTTATTAAGACTGCAATAATTAAAACATCCGAGACAGTTCCACTCTATCTTCCGTCTTAAAGATTACGAATTTTCAATTTCAATTTACAAGAAATAAAGTGTCTTAATTAAAAATGTTCTCCGAAGAAATGATGTAATTATCTCAAGAAAATTACATTGGGTTGTGAGGACAATTTCTTAAAACAACAACTATAAGTGACTCTCTCAAGGTTAGCTCATCAATTTTTCGATTTTATGGTGCTTGTACGAAATGACACGAGCTATTCGCACCCTCCTTAACTGTCAATCGTGGTGTCGTTTATTCTCCCAAAAAGCCTGGCTCGAAAAAAGGGACGAGCTCGCGCCGCACGATAAGGAGGGAAACGGCGGGATGCAGGGAGGGCGGTTGTGTATAGGCTGACAGAAGGATAGCATTGTTCGGAAGTACAATGTACGTTGTTATACCAAAGCGGCATGCACAACCCTCGAGCACAATAGTGCCGGTGCGGGAGGAAGATAGCGCGTGCCCGCGAAAAGAGAATACGCATCGTCAGTTTCGGCGCGAGGACTACAACTTTTCCCAACTGTTCTCTCTTTCTCTGACACACTTTTTTCCGATACTGTTTTTCCCCATCCATGAATTATGGCTCACGGTAGAACGATTCTGGAACGCTCGCGCTTTTTATGGAGCCGCGGCCGCCGTTCATCACCGCAGGATGTTCACGGGATACACTTCCCGATAATTAAAGCGGAGCAGGACCTCGCGGGACGAGTCTAGCCTTATTTATTTGCAACATTTTTCCTCAACAAGAAATTTTTGTTTCGGTTTTTAAGTCTTATTTGAATATCGCCAAGCTGTATCTACATAATTCGCTCAAGAAGAAATTAATTAATACATTTTTGGAGATATAATTGCAACAATGTATATAATTTGTCTCATATGAGAGAAGCGAAGAGTTAAATTTACATAAAAGCAATATAGAGAAACTTATATAAAAATTTATATAATAAATTGTATATAAATAGTGAAATATTTTAATGTCATATAATAATTTTTAAAGGAAGAAATTAGTTTAAAAACAGAAATAATACATCTGTTAAATTATATTTAATACAATTACTGTAATAGGGAGAATAATATTTCAAATAATTAAAAAAAATTGTAAAGTAAATTTTATAAAGGCTTTAAAATGCATAATTTTTGTCTATCCAACAAAATATATTAAACATTAATGTAATTAATATAATATTGCAATAAATTTTGATGCAATTATTACAGCTATTCGAAAACACGAACACGTCAGAGACAGATGTAGGTACGTGCCTGCAAGTGATAGTCAAGCGCCGAATTCAAAACTACTTTCGCATATATTTTCTCGCTTTCGTTATACGAGAATAAAAAGTCCGTTTCCGGACTTTTCTGACCGATAGTTCATTTGTTTTGTTCCGACTTTTTTCTCCATATGTGTCTGCATATGCATACGTAATATACATTCGCGTTAATAAATATATCTTTGTGAAAACTGACAATCTAAAAATATTCACAATAGAAATCGATTTTTTAAATAATATTGAGAATTATAATTATAATTATAAATATTAGAAAAAGTGACCGAGAAATCTAAAATGTTATTATATTTTATTGTTTTTGTATTTTTTATATTTTATAATATTTAATTAATATTATTTATAAAAACTTTTTAAAAATCTTTTTTAGATTTTATTTTTTCAATTGCATTGTCTTATTAGAGTAAAAAAATTCTATTAACTTATGTACAATCTTAAAGTATGAATTAGTAATTTTCTTTATCCGCAAAATTTCTTAGTTTTCGATCTTCTATTTTTAACCATCGCTTTGAAAATCACGCAATCAGTCTTATTTATGGAAGACTGATGCAAATTAATATTACTTTCAAGACGACTCGGAACAGCTGACCCAATAAGAGATTACCCCCTGTCACAATATTAGCCCCTGAAACTTCTCGCAAAAACTTTTTTCCTTCTGGCAAACTACCGAAGATGTTCCGTTTTAAGTGCCCGGGTTTAAATTTAATGAAGAAACGTGGGTACGAGGATGGGACGGGGTTGAACATTGGAAAAGGTAGAATGAATTGAAGAGAGGGGACGAAGAAGCGGCAGGTGATAATATCAGAATGAAATTGAAACTTTCACACTGCTGCTCCGTCATTTTTCTGTCTGACATTCGGCAACGACGACGACAATGACGACGCCGACGTCGACAGTAACGCCGACATCTGGATTCATTACTTATAGTCTAGCACCGCTCAGTTATTACGAAACTTACGGTAGCTTGGGATAGCAATTAAGACGCTCTCTTACTTCTGTTTTTTTCCGAACAACGTTGTACTAATTAAGCCGAAATCTTGAATAAAGCCTGAGTCGGCTTTAAAAGAAAAGGTTTAGAACGTCTTAGTCGCACCGAAAAATATAGTGTTTTATAAAAAATTATTGAATGTAAAAAAAAGACGAGAGGAAATAGTGTGTGTATGCATATCATATATATAATCATTCAATAAAATTTCTTTTAGAGACGCATAGTAAGAACGGGCCGAATCCGAGCGATTCAATATTTGGAGATCTTTCAAAAAGCCATCCAAGAGTCTCTTGGATATATAATAGAAAAAATATATTAATATTTGAAAATTGTTAAATAGATTGTGTTTTAAAACATATTTATATTATTTATATATCTGCTACACAAATCTTTGTAAAATTTTAACATATTTAAATGATCACTCAGTTTTTATTTATAATCAATATTACTAAATCGCATATGTCTTTTTAATTGTGAATGCAAATAAAAAATTAATCTTTCAAAATTGAAAGAAAATACATACGAAGAAAAAAACTTAGACTTTTTTTAAATTCTTTTACTCTAAATATCTCTCTCTTTTTTCTTAATAAATAATAGATTTGTAAAATCGAAATTAATGTCATCATATAATTACAGAGATTATATTAATCTACAAACTTGTCATAGAAAATAATTGTTACTGTTATAATATTACAGCATAGCACTATATTGTAGCGAAATTTCGAATGTTGCATAATTAATTTTGTCTAAATTTCATGATTATTTGGAATCTAATAATCATATAGCAGATACTCAACATAATTTAAAATTTCCATAACATATACGTTTCTCGTAGCTTTTTTATGCAATACGTTACAATTTATAATTATATATTACGCTTAAGTAATAATATAATAGGTTTCTATGAAAATATGACTAAATTTTTAATAATTATTCATTTTTATATATATAATTATAGTTAGATCATATTTTCAAATACTGTTTTCGTTATATATTATTTATTAGATTTATCATAATATCGTCATGAATACAACAATTTAACGAGTTATTTATACGCTCCATGATTTTGAATTGTTTCCGACGAAAATGATCGGATCAACATGAAAATGAGGATCGAACGAGAACGAGCGGTAGAGAAATTAATCGCTCCGCGGAGATCTCGTGTCATTGCATTTAACTGCAATCTCTGCAGAGCAGAGTATCTCTGGCAAATAATATTTATTCGAGAATACGTTATATCGTACTGTGTTTTTCGCGCTCGCACATTCGCCATTTAAAATCATCTCATGCATACATATCAATTTAGGAGCATAAGCGTAGCGTATATAAGCCTCTCTTGACAGATAAAAATACTCTGTGCATAAATTCTAGCATTACGACGAACTTATATTTAGCAAGCCATTAGAGTCACATGAAGCTTATACGTTACGCTGTCACGCCGATTCGTGCACGATGTCCGTTATCGCGTGATAAAATTCGCACGTGCAATTTGTCACACCTGGCCGAAACATCGCTGCGTCGCTTTAATAATAATTTCGCGGTTGCAGTGGCTTGCTCGACGGTGACGGTGACTAAGTGTCAAGCGGCTCTGCGCACCCTACAGGCTTTCACTTACTTCCGACCGACGTGCCTCTGCAGGGAGCCGCATGTCGATCCGGACTGCAACAGCTTCCAAAACTTCCTGTTTGACCATCCGTGCGACTATGTGGAATGGAAAGGTAAGAATTTGCATAGAGACGAAGTCAATTCTTATCGTTAATTACATGCGTGCACTGAGAAAAATCGTTTGATTGTACCAACAAGACGTATATGATTGAAGGTAATTAGTTAAATCAAACAAGAATTTCTAGTTATCATGATAAAACTCGATTTTTTATAACTAGAACGTTTACTAATAGATTTTACTAATAAGGATTTGGTTAGTATTTTCTGGTTGGATCTATAAAATTTCTTGTTACATTAATTTCTTTGCTTGCCACTCTTAACTTAACTCGTTCAATATTTGCCATAAAATGTATATAAAGAACTAGTATGAACATTAAATCCAAAGTATCTCTTCTTGCATCACTGTTTATCAGTTAATTTCTAACAAACTGAATTTAAAATAATTTATTTTAATAATCTGGATTGAATTTATCCAATAATCTTGTTAGAATTCAGAATATTAAACAGACTTTTGAGATTAGATGGAAAACATTTTAGACGACTCGGTGCTGGCGAGCTTAGTATTATTAATCAGAAAATTTGGTAAATTTAACAGGAAGAAATTAATCAGATTCATCTGGTAATTTCTACAAGAATTCTGGTTCGTCCATTTTCCAACAGACATATTGATTGAATCTACCAGAGTTCTAATTAATGCAACCAGATTTTTTTCTCAGTGTGCGTATACATTGTTGATTTAATTTTTTGACATCGTGCAATGATAATGATTCAGATTGATAAATATATTACCTCTCCCTAATCGGGGCTTGTGTCGCAAAATATCGATTACAATGTCTTTTTAAAGTACATCGATTCTTGTCGAGTCAGAAAAATCGATCGCCACTTATTGTGTCAGATATTTTTCTTAAGGGCGAAATAAAACGCTGAAATCTTTGGACTTTGCCGTCCTATACAATTTCGCTTCTACGGGCTTTATTGTTGATTTTCTCGAGAATTCGTTCGGTCCACATTGCTGGACTTTTTAAAATAATTCATAGGTAATTCTTTCACGATGCATCTTTTGCTTGCTTCATTTCTTCGTTTTCGTATATTTTTTTTTGAATTTCCAATCCTCGTTCTTTGTTTCGGAAAAAAATTATCATCTTTAAAATAATTTTTTATAGATATTTGTAGATATATGAAATGTTTTGATTGATTTAATATTCTCTAATTTAAGATATATTCGTGTTCGTTTACTATTTTCAATTTAATATTGAACGTTTCTCGTGTCAATAACTTTATGCTGGCGCATAAAGTTATTGACACGAGAAACGTTCTTTCATTGAAAACTAATAAATCTTATCAATATCTTATTTTAGCTAATGCCAATAATATATTTTCAACGATCAATTAAAAAATCAATTAAATCAATTAAAACAGAACCTATACATTCTATTATCTAGCTTATACAGATCATTTAGTTACGTAGATCGATGACTAACTATAACTCGACTAAACTGTGGCAAAGGGGAGAGAGTACAATTCGACGAGGTAATAAGTTGTGCAATTAGGCCACTCCGGATCGTGGCTTAATTACATTTATCCGAAAGCCGGTCATACGGGAGAGGATAATGGAAACCCCGCAGCGCAACCGGCTCCGGCTACGAAACCAGGAAGCTTCGGCACTTAATGAGATTAAATTTACCCTCATGTCTTGAAAAAGGAAGCGGAAGCGGGAGGCACTCCGCAAAAAAATTCGGTTCATGAACCGCAGGCTAAATAATATATATGTATATATATTTTATGTGTCAAGTAATACGGATCAAGCGGTAGATTTTTAAAACTTTACATTCTTAATGGCTCGCTATTTCGGAAAATTTGAAGAAAGTCAGAACAATTTCACACACAAGTACGGCTATAAAAGTTTGTAAAGATTTCAAGAAACTTCGTTGTATGTTCCTAGAAATGGAAAAGTACAGCTTTCTCGAATTTGCTTTAGTTTCATAAAGTGTATATATTGCTAGGTTGCATACTTTTCTACGTAAAAAACTAAAAATTTCAAATTTGTGAAACTAAAAAGTGAGCTAGATATTTCCCTACAGAGATTTTCCGACTTCCTGGTATAAATTGTAAACGTAAGTGAAACAAACTGCGGAAAATGGCGATATAAATCGAGGAGAAAATCAGACTTATCATCGATCGATTGTGTTCGACTTGACGGGCCGCAAATATAGAGCAGGGCATTTCGGCAATAAAATAAAAGAAGAGATAGAGAAGCACGATAAAAGAGTGGCCGATCAATAGCGTATTTCTTTAGTCAAATGATAAACTTCGAAAGGAAATTACAAACACAAGAGTAGCCGTTTTTTAAAACAAAAACGTGCATTGATAGTTGATTGCAATGTAAATAGATGAGTTATTTTGGCTCCGTAATTAAATTTGATGATTGAGCGAACAATTCAAGACTCAAATGAAAAAATAATTTGAAGGAAGCAGCATTCTTGAAAAAATATTCTTTCAGAAAATTTTGTGATTTTATATTTGATTATTGTTTTTGTTAAAATTAACGAACTACAACTTGCAAATTGAAATGGATATTTTTTGCATCACACAAGCCTTATTTATTTTTATTTATTTATTGTTCATTTAACTTCAATCTTTGATCGTATTTCGAGGAATTATTTATTTAATTCTTCGAATGAATATATTTGCAGACAAGGATCCATACCCAGTGGATGCATTGCCAACGTGTAATCATGCACTCAGCGTTTGTCTACATGGAAAGCCTTGCAATCAAATTCTCAAAGATTTCAAGGCTAACTGCAAGATTCAAGAGAGTCAGTGTAAAATGGAGAATCGGTAAGTAAGACAACAAATTTGTTTATGTTTGCTTCCCATTTATTAATCCAACGTGAGGTTACTTGTTTATTGCTTCGCAATATTGTGGAGGTAGAATAAAACTGCATATGTTTGCCTAAATATAATTGAAAAATTAAATTTTATATTATTAAAATAAAATGTGGCGTGAATGCTTACTTTGAAATGGAGATAATATGTGTATAGGGGAAAGATTTAATTGGGAATCTCGACTCTAAGCGAGTCATAAATTTATTTATTTTCCTTTATTCTTTTTTCCTCTATGCATTAATATACAGCATAATAATAACTCAGTGATATTTATATATATTTAGTAAAATTTTATACATTACAAACAAATATAAATGGAACATTTCATTTTATTCTGTGGTAACAAAATGATATGAGAAATTGTCATTTCGCGAGGGATTTGGATTTTTACGATTACGGAACAAATTTATTACAGTGTAAATATAACACGTGATAAAACTGTACTACATTAAATACCAGCTTTATGCTAAATAAAATAATAAATAAAAATGTTAACATTATTTAAGAATTGACATCGGTTCCAAAATATAAAAAGTGTGATTGATCAGCAAAATTAAAGATTTAAAAGTTCTCGCCTTTTCGTACATTTCTAAAATTAGTTAACACTTAAATCATTAAATTTAACTTGTTACTAAAAATTAGCGAAATCAGATTAGCAATAAATAATTTCATCTATTTTGAAGAAGTACAGACGGACGCGCGATTAATTAATTATTTGCATATAATTAACCTATAGACACAAAGTGGAAGGATTGTCACTACATAGCATCGACAGTAAATTACATTTTCCAGCGTAGTTTTAAAAGTTGCGCACCTCACACCTCGTACTATCTCGTTTTATCTCGCCGCGGAATTTTCGCGGCCACTTTGTCCCGATCCCATTAAACCCCGAGATACGAGCCCCTCTAGTCTAGTATCGTAACTCTGTCGAGTTAACGTTGAGGCCAGAGCTCGCAAACTTTCGAGATCAGCCACGATGTGTTAGACAATGAGTTGTGATCCATAAATGAAGCATAGATAATAATTTATCGGATCGTCACATCTCTGGATAATCGGAAAAAATCGTGGAAAATTTTCTTTTTCTGAAAAAATTTGAGATTCAAAAATCTCGGATAATTTTTATCTTACAATTTGATAAGTTTATTAAAGAGAAAATTTGATATTTATATAATAGGATGAAAATAAATTGTTTTAAAACTTGTCAATACTTTGGAGAATACGTGAAAAAAATGCGAGTAATGTATGATTCGATTTTGATGAACAATAATCATTCTCGTTATAAAGTTATCAATTAGCGCATACGCATGCACGCACTTTTAATTATGGAAGTTCTCCGACTATTTGCCAAAAGTTTACGAGCGATTTCTTAATTACACATAACGACGTCATATTTTTCTTATGATTTTATCTTTTTTTAGCTCCAATATCTGCGAAATTATCTACTCTCTAATATTTAACTGAGACTTTAAATAGAATAGATTATTTAGCACTTTATTATAATAAAGTGTAACAATTGATAAGTGAAATAAAGTATTGATAAATATAAAAATATTTCTTTTTTCGAATTCCATTTTCGATTACCAATTATAAATAAATTAAATTAAACCTAATATCGAATTCACGATACTTCAATTCTCGATAGCAATCGCGTATTCATGGACGTACTTGTCTTCGTGAAAGGTCAATAAACTAATTGCCGTTAAAGCAGCGCGTGCAAATTAGCTCATTAATCGCGCAAAGAGACGACACGGGTGTCGCCGGCGCTAAAATTACCGGATTGAAAGTATCGTGGGAAAACGCCGGACTACATTCCCGGAAGTAATTGGCAAGCGTGTTGCAACTGCAATCGCATGCAACGCCACATAATTTCCTTCGTGGAAATGAATTAGCTCGCTGTACTGCCACTGCGTTCTCCTCACTTCGCGATTCTTAAAGTGAACGAAAAAGGAATATGGGTTAATCGATTCAGCTGTTTTGATAAACTAATGTACTAAATTGATAGAAATTGGATTAACGTGTCACATTTGTTTCTTTAAAATTTCATCTCCAGCTATCTTTTTTCTTTTTTAAATTAACGATATTTTTTCTCTTGCCATATTTTTAGCACTACGTAACTATTTGATTCTTATCACACATTAATGTAAAAATGAATGAGATAAGCTATATATCTCTAAATTTTTATTCCGATTAAATGATAAGAATATAATATGAAAATATAAAATCTTTTTGAAATGTAAAAATGCTGAATAAATTATGAGAAGTGCGACTAGTATTTCATAATAGCTGAATAATAATGTGGTTTATATTACATGATGTAATCATATGCCTTGGCTTGTTATAATTATACATAATATTGTCGAAAATCATGTAATTTATTGAACTCAATATTAATTTTCCTACAAAAAGAATTTGATTGATATTGTTTCATGTTTTTTAATCTCTAATATAACTAACCGTTATATTAAAATTTTGTTGAAATAGAAATTATTTGAAAAATTAAAACAAGCAACACATTAATGTTTAATTCAAATAAACTTCTCAATATATATGCAATTATTATAAAAGCCACGTTTCTTGATTTAATTTCTATTATTTATGATTAAAAAAAAGCGTACATCTTCTTAAGAACTTTTTATATACTTTTATATTCACAGTATAATTAAAACCGTACATCATATGTAATTAACTCAAAGTAACAGGGTTACTTTGCTCGTATTCCTTGTCTCAAGAATGACTCGTTTTTCCTTACAGCGAGATGAAGTCTAACTCTAAACGTAACCAACTGCGGTTTTTATGGTAAACATTAATTAAATTAACGGGATCATTAATTGCGGCCTCTCGAGTTGCTCTAGGATACTGTATCTCTGTAAATCCGTGTGAACTGCTCGAAGGGTGATTTTGCGGTGAACTCCGCGTCTTTATGACTTGACGAGTACAAAAAGAGCACATTTTGCATATATCTTTACTTTCAAAGCATATTTTTATAATAATTTCTATAATATAATTAATTATATTGTACAGACTAGTCATAGATTTGTAGTAAAAATAATAATGAGAATAATTATGGATATTTTAAAGCGCATAGAAGTGATATTTAATAAACATCGATGGTAACTTTGAATAGCGGCGCTGTCAAATAATATCGTACTTTTTGCGATTCACGTCACGAACATGGTTCTGCAAATTCCGAAGAAATCCGTAAAGTTCTTCTAAGGTCTCGTTTTCTTACCTTCTCTCTTCTACGCGATAGTGTTCTCCTTATCCGTAATAACATTGAAATTCAATCCGTCGTTCTTCCTGATAAAAGTAAACCTCGCCGGTGAAGTTCCTCGATCATCGGTCTTTATCCTTGTTCCCATTTTCCTTTAATCTGCGATATCGAGATCGAGCAAAATGATGGGTCCACAGATCGAAACTGTTCGTTATCATCTCTATAATTTTCAGGGAGATCAATCGGTCATTCAACCCTGCTAAGCAAGCATTAATAATTAAACTGGCGGGATCACATAAACATTACTAGCTTCCTTAAAGTATGGAATAGTAAAATCTAATAAAATCTAATATATATCAATAATCTAATAAAAAATCCGCGTTAAATAATTACATCAGTACTACAACAACATCGCGAGAACAAAGATTATAACAAATACGTAATAAAAAAATGATTTAGTTTTACTTTACCTATTTTAGTAACCTATTATAGTAACCTATTATTTATTTTTCTCTTTTCTTATTAAATATTATTCGTAACGTAAGTAGGTCTTTCAGTTGTTAAAATAAGTAAATTTGCTCCACTTTTTTATTTTCTGATTACTTTTATTATTATATAAAGAAACTCTGTTCTCTTTTTCTATCTTTTTCTTCGTAAATCAAATTAATCCATCGAAAAATTCATACTTCTTTTCTTCATCAATTTTTTATTGTCCGCCACGATATTCTTGTCATATCATTACGGTGACGTAATACCGAGGATCTTGGAAATCGTGAAAGGAATAAGTTGAAAAAAAAGAGAAGATGTTCTATCTCTTATTGCATTCGGCGGCTCAATTAGCAGAATTGAGAACTTGTCGATCGGTGGAGAATGTAACGAGTCCGATATCGAAATGCCGACCCTTTGCAGACGTGGAAAATCCCTTCTGCCTCCTCCCTTTTTCTAACGTGTCAATAAGCTTCTATTTCACTTCCATCGGTGACATCGCGAGAGTTACTCTCGAGGAAACGTCGACGACGTCTAAAAGAAAATGAACGCTGCGAACGATGCGATTAATTATCGTAACTACAAATACAGGATATCTTGGAAATATCGCATTATTGTTCTATTGATTTTTTTTCATAAATATTTCTAGATTGTCGCGAGGAAAGTTAATTAAAAGTTAATATTTATATAGTAATTTTCTATTTCTCTATTTTTTTACTCTTTTTAAAAACTACAAAATAAAAATATAGAATAAAAATAAAGTCAATTAAGAATTAATTATAAAACAGCAATCTGTTTCAATTTAATTCGCTTTAAAATCTGCAGTTTTTAATTTATCCGGTTGGCCAAATTTTAATGCGATTTTTTATTCATCTATAGTTTAAGCATTTTATTGATAAATATATTGTAACATTACGCTTCTATAATTAAAATTGTAAAAGATATTAGAATTGAGATAACATACACATACTCTTATTGAAAATAATAAAAATTAAAAGAAATATATATATTCTTTAAGATTAGAAAATACACTCTCTTTATTAAGGCCTATAAATTAATTTTATTAAATACATTACAAGATTATTTTATTTTTATTCATTAAATAACTGATTATAAATTAATTATAATTATTTACATTTTGTAGGAATAATTTAGCGAATGTAGAGTTTTGAAATCAAAATTTGAGATCACAAACATTGGATTATAGAGATTCCCGAAATATCGATATCCCATTGTCCGCGTATTAGCATTTAAA